GTTAAGTGTCATTAAGTAGGTTCCAACTCATAGTGACCCTGCATAGGGCTTTTTGGGGGGTTTTACATGTTTTATTGTGAATTATGTGACAGTTTACATGGGAGAATATTAGCTTTACATTCATTCTATCGTATATCGTTTCACTGCCATGGTTACAATCCCCTCCATGAATCATCAACCAACTGAAGGGTACACCCTACAAGCCTGCCCCCCGGTTGTCAACACACAGCCCTTCTCCCTCTCTGGGTCTAGAGTCCCCAGCCACTCCATCTCTCCACGTCATCGTCTCTGCCTCCATCTCTGGCATCATTGTTTCTCTGGGTAGCGTCCTGCACTCCACTCTTCTCCCTTGATGGTTTTTGAAGAGCAGCTGGTGGGTTTGAACTGACAATCTTGTGGTTCGCAGTCCAGTGCTGATCTGGGAAACACAAACTAAACCCTACGTAAGGAGCTATCAGGTAGCTTAATGGTTACGAAACAGGCTGCTAATCTCACAGTCAGCTGTTTGAAACTACCAGCTGTTCCGTGGGAGAAAGATGAGGCTTTCTGCTCCCCTAAAGATTTACAACCTTGGAAACTTTGTGCAGGTTCGCTATGAGTCAGAACTGACTCCACAGCACATAACAACAAAAAGGAGCTATCAAGAGCCAATGATACTAAAGGAAGAAGTCCAAGGTGCATTGAAGGAATTGGCAAAGAAGAAGGCACCAGGAATTGATGGAATAAAAATGGAAATCTTACAAGAAACTGAGGCGGCACAAGAGGCACTTACTCATCTCTGCCAAGAAATTTGGAAGACAATTATCTGGCAGACTGATTGGAAGAGATCCATATTTGTGCCCATTCCAAAGAGCGGTGACCCAACGGAAATCATCGGACAAACTCTTTGATATCCCAAGCGATTAAAGTTTTGCTAAAGGTAATACTGGTAGCGTAGTGGTTACGAATCGGGCTGTGAACCTTAAGGTCAGCGGTTCGAAACTACCAGCTGCTCCGCGGGAGAAAGATGAGGCTTTCTACTCCCGTAAGGATTTACACCCTCGGAAACCCTGTACAGGGTCGCTATGGGTCGGACCCGACTCGACGGCACTTAACAACAACAACAACAACAAAGGTAATACAGAAATGGCTACAATCATACATTGACAGAGAACTTCCCGAGGTTCAAGCCGGATTCAGAAGAGGCCACGGAACGAGGGATATCATTGCTGATGTCCAATGAATCTTGGCTGAAAGCAGAGAATATCAGAATGATGTTTACCTATGCTTTATTGACTAGGCAAAGGCTTTCAATTGTGTGGATCATAACAAGCTATGGACAACACTGTGAAGTATGAGTATTCCCGAACACTTAATTGTGCTCATGCGGAATCTGTACCTGGACCAAGAGATCACCGAGTGCTAGGAAGGTGAGCTGGGGCTAGGGAGGGGTCACTACTACAAGAATAGGTGGTTTCTGTTTTGGGGTAATGAAAATGTTCTATTACCGTGACTATGCATAACTCTAACTATTAACAGGTGAGTTTGATGGCGTATGAATCATATCTCCATAAAGCTGCTCATTAACTCTTTTCCTACAAAGTCATACGAAATTGCACACACTGTGTACCATTGTGTTTCTAAATCAATACAGTTCTTACCTCATCCCACTTCAGTTCAACTGCCATTTGACTTTGCTAAAGCTAATTTATTCCTTTCTACGTTTATCACCAAAGTAAAGCATGAATTGACCAAATGTAAGATTCTTTCCTTTTTAGGATACATAACATTTTCAAAGTTCAGCATTCACTATATAGCATTTCATAATGGGAAAAACCCAACGTTTCAAAAGAAATGTGCCTATTGAGGGGATGTAATCATTGCAATGCTACGAAATACAATCGGATGAGTCAAAACTTAACGTTCTCCCATGTAAACAGTCGTTCAATGCACAACTAAAGCTTTTTCAAAAAAGAGATGTACCTACTAGTGGAGAAACTTAAGACATTATTATACCCTACTTCCAACTGGAGAAACTCTGCTAACAGTAAACAATATAAACATTGTGCAGCATCATACTCTGCGGATACAACTTTAAAAATATTAATAACTCACTCTTAAACGGGCTTGCTGTTGTTAGGTGCCAGCCGCCAAGTTAATTTTGACTTATAGTTACACCATGTGACAGAGTAGACCTGCCCGTAGGGTTTTCTTGGCTGTAATTTTACAGAAGAAGATAGATTACACTAGTTCTTTCTCCTGCAAAGCAGCTGGGTAGATGTGAAGTGCCAACCTTTTAAGTCCTTCTAAAAGGACAATTCTGTTCGATTCAATTGCCTGCTCCCTACATGGTAAAGCCAAATACAATCAAACTTAGAGAAGAATTTCACAGGCAGCTTTGTTTAGCATATATATTTCTGTTGGTACTAGTACAAGGTGTTTCTGAATTCAAAATTGTAGCAAAAAATGACAATTATCAAAAACAAAAACACCCCAAGTTTTAACAGTGGGCTATGATTTCAGCACTTTATCATCAGTTTGATTAAGATTTGGGTTACCACTACATTGAGTGTTAAGAATAAAGGTTAGAAAGCACACAGGGCAAAAGAGACTTTTTAAAAATATGCTGAAAATCAGTTTTAGGTACCGTTAAGTCATCTAATGGAAGTTTTGAATTTCAGCTGAAATAAACAAAACCTATTATCTGAATTCCATTGTGGGGAATAGAATATAAGCATATAATCTAATCTCAATCACTAGATCTACTTTAAAGTGGTGGTGGTTCCTTCCAATGACCATTTTTCAAATTTACAGGTATCCAGTGACAAAGCAATTCTGTGTTCTGGTGTCTGGTTATGGCTTTTCTTGAAAGGGAAAAACCTGCTTGGTAAAGTAGAAGGTCACACACAGCGTAGGTCCTTCTAAAAGACCACTAAAAGCATCTTTCAGCCTCAGTGTTCACACGCAGATTCAGCGGTCTTGTTATGAAGACAATAATGGTCTTTGCTCCGCTTGTCCTCTCAGGACCACCAAGCCAAGAGCAGGCCCAGGCCTCCTAGACTGTTTCCACAGAGCTGCCTGACTCTACAGTGAGTAACTTGTCTTTTGTTAGCACTGAAGTGGTTTTCATTCTTGGTTTCGGAGAACTCCTTCCGATATAACAAAATTCAAACTCTATAGTGAAATAAGTGTAAGTGTTTAGACTAATCGGATAGGATTAAAATTTTGATGCCATGAATGTGACCAATTTTTCTAGTACCCAGTAAACCAGGGTCTGAGCTGCACAGTCAGGACATTAAAACTTCACACTGCTATGTTCCGTCCCTTCCTTCGTCCTCAGTAGTTCTGAGTCATCAGCATTTGTCGTTCCATGGATTTGGGAAAACACAGGATGGAAACCATGCCCTGCTCTAACCATAAGCAATGGCAATGACTTCTGTCTTCGGTTTTATTTTCCAGCCCAAACAAACACTGGATAATTTGCAAGTGGCTTTTTTCCCAGTGGCAATTGTTTTTTTATCATGAAACTATTTTAAAACACAAAATCATTTGAAGGCAAAAGCACACTGCTGTATTTAAAGATACTACCTATCTGGAAAGTGTAAAATAGCAGCTGAACTAACCCATGATTTCCTAGGTCTTGACTCAAACAAAAAATGTACACTCAGTCTACAAATAATTTTTAGCTTACTCTGATTTGCCAAATTGTAGTTTACAGTTGTTGTTGTTGTGAAGAGCCATCGAGTCCATTCTGACTCATAGCGACGCTGTGTGGGCTTTCCGAGGAGTTGCTGGTGGGTTAGTTTACAGCAGTAGAAAGAAACATTGAGTTCAAATACAGGCTAAGTGCAGAGAGAAGAGAAAACAAAAACTATGACTTAAGATACTGTGCCCACAACTATAAATGTAGAAGAAGTATAACTAAAAGAGGGGAGCACTTAATCTGTCATTTCAGGAACAGAGGACTCTGGGACCATCAAGAGGGGAGAATGTGAGGAAAGTGAAGGATCCACGGCAGAGGCAATGGCATGGAAAAGTGGAGCAGCACAGGACTATAAACCAGGGACTGAGAAAGGCAGTGTGCCTATGGGCAGGAGGCTAGCTTGCAAAATCTGCCCTTTGGAAGCTTAAAACAAATACATAGTTTGAATGTGGCAAGTGTACATCAAAAAAAGGGGGAGTAGAAATAAATATTGTTAGCTGTGATGGTGCATGGAAGGGGATTGTCAGTTTTGCAATGATTGGCTGTGATGGTGCAGGGAGGGGATTATAAGCATTGCATTGATTGGTTGAATGTAAAACTGATGATCTGCCCTGTAGGGCTCTACTCAATTCACCAGAAAAGTTTCTTAAAAAAGATACTGTGCACTGAAGGAACGAGGATGTTTTCAGTTGGCTGAAAAGAAATTCCCACAGCCCGGAACCTACTCCCCAATTCTTATGAAATGCAACAGAGCAACAATAACCACCTATTTCAAATAATTTATCCTACATTTTGACCAAAAAAAAAAAAAAAAGGTTTTCTGAGTAGGCAGCAAATGAAGAAGCAGTTACCTTCCTTAAATGCATCTTCAGTTTACCCATATATGGGAAATATAAGTAAAAACAGCCCAAAAAATCACACATTTTGTAATCAGAAAGATCTGGTTTTGCACTAAGAGTTACTTAACACTTGGACTCCTGCTATGGTGCTGTAGGATACACATTGGACTGCAAACCACAGGGCTTCTCTAAGTCAAGTTTACTGGATGCACAAACAGCAACAACTTAACACTTGATATTTTATTACTGCCTTTGTAGAAATGGAAACCTCACCATCATTATTGTGGGGTTAATGTAAGAGCTTAAATGTCACACTGTTAAATAAATGTGCCTGGAAATTAGCACCTTCCCTTAAGCTCATGCAGGTAAAGTAACTTCATTACATAAAGTAACACAGAACTTGACTCACAATTTTCCTTTACTGAACCAGGTTGGGATGGACTGGTGGTGGTACAGGGAGATGTACCGGGCATCCTAACCCCGTGCCTCTAAGAAGGGATGACAGAGAGTTGATGAGGCAGGAAACACAAAGCGACTATCTGTGGACCCAGGATCTCTTGGGTCCACATCAGTCTTTCCCTGGTTTAGGAGGTTGTCTGTGCAGGGGCCTGAGTCTGCTCTCAGCAATTCTCCCTTGGTGGTAATCAAGTTCTTTCCTGTCTGCTTGCTTTCCTCTCCTTTCCTTTTGTAAGATAATAGGCGATACAGGCCACAGGCCAGGAAAATCCCCTTAAACTGCATCAGGGCTTGGATCTAAGGACTAGGGTGGTGCAGCCCACCCCAGTCCTCATAGAGCGAATTGGATGATCCCATCAAATCACATCATGGGGAATGAGTTCATCATTACATTACTGCCAAATGACATAATTACATAGTTGTCACTGAAAATCACAGCCCGGCGATACTGACACATAATTTTTGAGGGGACACAATTCAACCCACAGCACGTACATGGGAACTCTAAAGTGATACATCTGTGTTGCTTTTTTAAGCCACTGACTCCTGGTATGACGCTGTAAGATCAGCACACTCAGCTATAGCCACAGGTCAGCAGTTCAAACTCACCCTCTACAGGGTCGATGTGAGGCAGAACTCGATAACACTTATCAAGTTTATACAAAGCAGAGGAAACACATACACATTTGGTTTTATAAGTATCATCTAACTTACTATATTGTAGACTACTTTGTGGAAAGGCACACTGGTATGTGTAGAAAATGAAGTTTGGAATCAAATGCCTGGCTCAATTACTTCACAAAGTATGTGATCTGAGGCAAGTTTTTAAAACTCAGTTCTTCACCAATAAAAGAAGGAAGACACTAAAAGTATCTAATTCACAGAGCTATTATGAGAATTAAATGGCATAATGCATACAAAGGAGTCCTAGTGGGGTGCTGTGGGATAAACCATGGACCGCAAGGTCAGTTTGGACCAAAGGTCGGTGGTTCAAACTCACCAGCCGCTCCTTGGGAACCCTATACAGGATCAGTATGAGATGGAACCGACTCCATGGCACTTAACAACAACAATTCATATAAAAGAGTTACAATAATGTGTGGCTCATATTAACTACTCAGCAAACACTTCCACTGATTTTTTTTTTTTTTTTAATTAACTGTTAAGTGTGTGTGTAAAAGTTAACCGTAAATAGCTGACAAATTTGAGATGTGACTCCAAGTCTGAATGCCTCCAAAGCCTGGCTATGTTCTTTTCAGGGCTGCAGGATAAGCACTGGACTGGTAGCACAGTGGTTACGAGTCAGGCTGCTAGCCTAAAGGTCAGCAGTTCGAAACTACCAGCGGCTCTGTGGGAGAAAGATGAGGCTTTCTGCTTCCGTAAAGATTTACAGCCTCGGAAACCCTGTGCAGGGTCACTATGAGTCGGAACCGACTGCACGGTACTTACCAACAACTAACTACAAAGTCAGAGGTTCAAATCCACCAACTGCTCCTCGGGAAACCTATACATGATCACTATGAGTCAAAACTGACTTAATGACAACTTAATGGGATGGCACTTAATGACAACAATGAAGTAGACTGATAAATGTTAGGGCCTCCATGCTAGTAGATCCGGACCACTCTTGTTCTTATGTGCCGTGCAGTTGGTACTGACTCATAGTGACCCTGTGTAGGGTTTCTGAAGAGCAGCTGGTGAGCTTCACCTGCCGACCTTGTGGTTCAAACCTCTGGCGAATGAACCGTCAGCCCCAGCCCAGGACTCCAGACACACACCACTAGACTGAGCATCTGCTTCAGGGAGAGCAAAGCAGGGAAACAACAACACATTTTTTTAAAAAAATAATGTATTTCCAAGAAGCTACCTAACTAAAAATCATGAGAAAAAATCAGAAGTATATTTGGACCTCCTGGTACTCGGCAGTTAAATATTATTTGGTCCCGTTTCCCATCTCGACGTGTTAACCGACAGCCGGTCAGTCTCAGATGCTGCAGCCACTGTAAGCTACCTAGTTAGTAGGTTACACTAGCTCTCTAAGAACCATTTATACAAGGTCTTTATTTCAGTTAACACACTATGAGTAGAGTAAGAATGGACTGTTTTAGAACTGATGTCATTCTGTTTGACAAAGTAAGAAAAAGAAAAAAAATTACTTTGTAGGGGAAAAAGTAAAGCCTTATAAAACAAGCACCAAAAACCGTCTAAAAACACGTTGGGCCACTAACCGCAGGTCAACAGTTGGAATCCACCAAAGTCTCCACAGGAGAAAAATAAGGATTTCTCCAGCCCTGGAGACCCTGTCCAGGGTCACTATAAATCGGAACCGACTAGATGGTACACAAAAGAACAAGTCTCCACATTCATATAAATAATTAAGTGTCAAAAGTTAAGAAGATACCATTCTGATCATGGCCTGTCAATCACATAGACTACAAGCGTAAAATGTGAAAAGACAAGTGAGTTGTAAGAAATAAGTGGTATCAGGGTCAGCTAAAAGAAAGCTATCCTTTCAGACAACATTGATGTTCTCACCTGTTAAGGATGGAGTTTTGTCCCTTCTAAATCCTAATCTCCACGCCTGGGGTTAAGGCACATTTGATGTTAATGAGGCCAGTGTAAAGTAGGGCGTGGCCAGAGTCAATCGCCTTTGAAATATAAAGGAATAAGCATGCCAACAGAGGAGGGGTAAGAGAGATGTCTAGCCATCCAGGAAGCTTCAGAGGTAAAGACCTGCCTCCTGAGAGAAGGAGACTTTCCCTTAAAGCTGCGGCCCTCACCTGTGAGAAAACACATTTTGTTTGTTAAACTCATTCGCTGTGGTATTTCTATTATAGTAGGAGTCCGGTATCGTGCTGTAGGGTAAGCAATAGACCACAAGGTCCTTTTGAACCACAGGTCATTGGTTCAAGCTTACCAGTCATTCCTCGGAAACCCTATATAAGGTCGCTATAAGTTGGAGCCCGAAGGCCCATGTATGCTCAACATCTCAGAATAAGTTTTGTCTGCTCCAATCAAAGGCCTTTCTCAAAGAAACCCTTTAGAAGAAATGCTGGGTTCACACCTAAGTAGCACTGTTGATGTTGTTGTTGTGAGGTACCACTGAGTTGATTCTGATCCATAGCGACCCTGTATACGATTTCCAAGGAGCAGCTGGTGAGCTAGAACCACCAACCTTGCAGTTCAAATGCTTTGCAGAGTCTGATGCATTAGCCCACAGCGCCATGCCAGGACTCCTCCTAAGTAGCTTGGACCCTCCTAAATGGACCATTTCCTGGAAATCCCCACCTATCCCTATGAATAAACATAATGTCTTTTCCTTACCCCAAACCTTTGGGCCCTTTGTGGAGATAGGGGTTAAGCACTGTTTTTAGCACTCTGCTAGCAAGCCTCTTGGCTATAATGAACCTTTGCTCCTATGGAAACTGCCTCACCTAACTATTCTTAACCAGCAGAAGCCAAGAACCCTGTCTTGAAAGGCGGGGTTGTGGCTGGCACTCCCTGTAACAACAGCAACACTCTAAAACACATTAGAATTGCCCTGAGGTAGCCCTGCAGAATAAGCACTGGACTGCAAGT